CTGAAACGATCGGAGTTAAATCTAATACAACCATTAGGATGCTTAAGACAGAAGCTTATACTAAATAAAACAAATGATTTGAACAACAGTGCAGAAAGTGTGTTTTCACAAAAAAAATTCAAAATATTATGTCTTCAACAGGATTTGACCTCATACCCTCACATCCATGAATGTTCCATAGTTCTCTATCCTACCTGCTAAGCCACTGGTCAGGTGAAAGTTTGTGTACAAAATCCTAACTATATTCATAAGTACGGTGTCCACTAGAGGTCGCTGTTTGAAAGCAGCTTGGAATCAAAGAGAGCACCCGAACCACGGCGAAATCAGTGGGATCTCGCATTTTGCAACACAAGTTTTGAAAAAGCACGTGATCAAACAAAGCTTCGGACATCATTGATGACGTACTTCTGATAAGTGATACAAGCATCCGCACACTGCTTCGAAGTTAGCTGCTTAGCGATTTCGACGCATGCCTCAGAGCTCTGGTATCAAAACGTAACAACATAAGAGGATAGGAAGAGGACTACCTCATCACTTGTTTTGTTGATATCAGGCGCTAATGGCAGCGAAATGCTAACTCAGTCAAACAGCTATTTGGAGTCTAGCGATCTGTTACCTTTGGTACTTGTAGTGTTAATGGTCATGTTAATAACTATTGTATGTTATTGGATTTGCGTATTGTAATTGATTATTGCCATTAACAGCCGATTTAGTTATGTATGTCCATTGCTGTTATTATTTGCACCTTTCTGTCTCCTGAATCTAGACTCTTAAACTGAACTGCATCTCTGCCTGCTCTGTAGTCCTGCAGTCAAATGACCCGGTGACCTCATGGATGGAATGTCATATTTTTCATCATTATTAAACATTTGTTTTTTTTAACGACGAAAATCCAAGCGGATTTCTTTTATTTTTTTCATAAATTTCAACTCAATATCTGACACAGTACAGGTGTCTTATTTTCTGTAAGCCCGTAACCATGTGTGTGAGGTGTATACTTTTGTTTCAAAGTAGATTTGTTTAAGACCAAGAAACCCTCTGTGACCCTGATTTAGCCCGCTGCTGTAAAAGGTTAACTGGAGTCCCACAGTAGACGGGCATCACCATAACCCTTATCCACAGTAGACGGGCATCACCATAACCCTTATCCACAGTAGATGGGCATCACCATAACCCTTATCTAAATCTCAATCAGTCACACAATCTTCTTCAGTTACAAGATTGTGACTGGCTAGGAACCAACATTTCTCATGCAGGAAACGTATAAAAGCAACCCTGGGTCATGTTCAGGTGAGATCTTTGTACCTGGAAGGTCCTTGGTGTGTGTATAGGCTGTACGGTGTTGTTTCTGTGAGCAACCATTTTGTGGCTGAGCAACCATTTTGTGGCTGAGCAACCATTTTGTGGCCATGCTGTCTTGAAGACATGTTCGGGGTGTGGTCGATGGTCCTGTATGGTATTTGTTCCGTTTGACCGCCAATCTTCAAGCTGTTCATTATGTCCCGGCAGTTTATAGGGCCCTCCAATTAGGTATTTCAGTAAAGTCATTTGTATTTCTAGAATATCTATTGTTTATGTAAATGCAGTGGTTAACTTTATTTTTCGACCATCAGAAGTACATTATTGTTTGTTACAACTTGTGAACTTGGTCAGCTGAATCTCTGTGAAAGCACGGCTGTATTTCAGAAAGCTCTCTAGAGGAAGTAACAGACCTAAGAAGTCATTTTGGTGTCCTCCTGTTAATAATGTGTGTTATGTGTCAAACAAGCAAAAGCAATCCTCTAAGCTTTAATAGATGCTGCTCGTTCTTTAACTGCCTCTACTGTTTCCCTTTAATGGGCCCAGAACCTGTCTAAAGTTTGCTCGTTCTTTAACTGCCTCTACTGTTCCCTTTAATGGGCCCAGAACCTGTCTAAAGTTTACATGTTACAATTGTAATAACATTTCTATATGTTTGCTAAGGTGTCTGGTCCGTTGTATTGCTCAGAACTGTTGACCCAACTCAATAGGTGGCCTGTCACGAACTGTGTGTCTAATGTTCTGGTTGAGGTGTTCCCCTCATTAAACAGTAACTGGTGTAGTGTCTAATGTTCTGGTTGAGGTGTTCCCCTCATTAAACAGTAACTGGTGTAGTGTCTAATGTTCTGGTTGAGGTGTTCCCCTCATTAAACTAACTGGTAGAGTGTCTAATGTTCTGGTTGAGGTGTTCCCCTCATTAAACTAACTGGTAGAGTGTCTAATGTTCTGGTTGAGGTGTTCCCCTCATTAAACTAACTGGTGTAGTGTATAATGTTCTGGTTGAGGTGTTCCCCTCATTAAACAGTAACTGGTGTAGTGTCTAATGTTCTGGTTGAGGTGTTCCCCTCATTAAACAGTAACTGGTGTAGTGTCTAATGTTCTGGTTGAGGTGTTCCCCTCATTAAACAGTAACTGGTGTAGTGTCTAATGTTCTGGTTGAGGTGTTCCCCTCATTAAACTAACTGGTAGAGTGTCTAATGTTCTGGTTGAGGTGTTCCCCTCATTAAACTAACTGGTGTAGTGTCTAATGTTCTGGTTGAGGTGTTCCCCTCATTAAACAGTAACTGGTGTAGTGTCTAATGTTCTGGTTGAGGTGTTCCCCTCATTAAACTAACTGGTGTAGTGTCTAATGTTCTGGTTGAGATGTTCCCCTCATTAAACAGTAACTGGCGTAGTGTCTAATGTTCTGGTTGAGGTGTTCCCCTCATTAAACAGTAACTGGTGTAGTGTCTAATGTTCTGGTTGAGGTGTTCCCCTCATTAAACTAACTGGTGTAGTGTCTAATGTTCTGGTTGAGGTGTTCCCCTCATTAAACAGTAACTGGTGTAGTGTCTAATGTTCTGGTTGAGGTGTTCCCCTCATTAAACAGTAACTGGTGTAGTGT